CCACTCTCATTATTAATACTCCACAGCATGCTGTGTGAGAAGTACAAGATACTTTCAACGGTTCACACACACTCATCTGTGAAAAACGTGCCAGAAAAGCTGCTCAAATGCTTTGGTGAGCAGGCAAAGAAACAGTCGCGTCACGAGTACCAGTTGGGCGTTACTTTAATTTGGAAAGATGGTAAGTCCATGTGCACTTACGAATAGATGCTTACAGAGTTAAGCCTTCATCTTTATTTCATTTCTTAATGAGAGAATGGGTCTTGATTGGATGGGCCCCGGTTGGAACTGTGTGGCTGTATATTTTAAATAAATCTGATGTAAGATGGAAATGGGGGGGAGGTACTTGAAGGTAGATTTGTTGCTTGCTTGGGGGTATTTGTTCCTTGCCGGGCAATATATTCTAAGACTGGCAGCCAGGAAAATGTCTCCTCTAACTATGTGAGGTATCGTAAAACATGAGAGAAGGAATGGTGAATACAGGAAGTCCTTGACTTACAACCATTTGTTTAGTGACGCCTCGATGTTACAAGGGCTCTGAAAACAGTGGCTTATGGCCGTTTCACACTTATAACCATTGCAGCACCCCCCCCATGGTCACATGATCAAAATTTGGACACTGGCTGTAGTCTCTTGGGGTCATGTGATCACCTTTTAGGACCTTCTGAGAAGTCAATGGGGAAGCCAGATTCATTTAACAAACTGTGTTACTAATTTAAGAACTGCAGCGACTCACTCAACAACTGTGGCAAGGAAAGCCACAAAAGGGGGAAAAGTCACTGTCCTGCTGTCTTGCTCAGCCACAGAAACGCTGAGCTCCATTGTGGCCGTAAGTCAAGGACTACCTGCATCCACCAGCTCTCCAAGCGTCCTCGGTGTCTAATCCTCCCTTGGGATTATCCTTCCAGTGCCAAAACCCCAGATGAAGTTCAGCATTCAAACCATGTGCCCCATTGAAGGCGAAGGGAACATTGCTCGGTTCTTATTCTCCTTGCTCGGCGCAAAGCACAACACAGTCGCAGCCACGTTGATAGACAGCTGGGTGGACACCGCCCTCTTCCAACTCCAAGGAGGAAGCAATAAAGAAAAGGCAGCCGTTCTGCGGGGCATGAATGCGACCCTTGGCAAGACCTCCTGGCTGGTGGGCAACGAATTGACGGTAGCCGACGTCGTGACCTGGTGCGCCCTTCAGCAGGCAGGGGGCACGGAAGCCGTCCCAGCCAACGTGCAGAAATGGCTCCGGTCTTGTGAGAACCTGGCGCCTTTCAATGCTGCTCTCAAGCTGCTGAAGTAGCTTTCTCTCCCATGGACAGGCAAGCAGATCCCACTTTTTCGACCTCTCTGGTTATGAAAGCTGGGGTGACATTTGGATAAATCAGATTTGAAAAATAACCAAAGGTGTTATGCCAATAAAGTTCATCAGAATTGTCCTTTGTAAAATGGTGCTTTTTCAGCAAGAAAACTGCCCCCCCCCCCAACACAAACACTTCCCGGTCACACCCACCTAGTCTTGGTAACCAGAAGGTTTTCCTTCTGAGACAGTTTTCTCCCAGTTTTCCTAATTGCTCCCATCTAAGAGTTAACAAGCCCAATCCTGATTAGCTTCTTTGGGATTAACCAAGATTGTCTGATCTGGCTACCTGCTGTAACTACAGCATTACTGTTAATGTCGGAAACACTAAAGCAGGGGTCACCAACCTTTTGGACCCCAGGGACCACCAAACTCGTAATTTTAAATCCTGCAGACCAGAGACCCTGGGAAAATCCCCCCCAAAATGTCTGCAGGAAAACTCCCTACCCCGTTTTCCTACCGATCGATCGTTCTTTATTTGGGATCACAGGATCCAGCTCTGTTCTCAGGGAGAGAGAGAGAGAGACTTTTGGCTTTGTGCAAGGAAAGCAGCAGAAGTCTTTCTTTCTCTCCCCCAAACTCTGCCGTAAATGAGTCTTTGCCAGCACAGCCTCTTGGAGCAGGAGGCCTTGCAGAGTCCCAAAGACTCATTTCTGGCGGAGTTTGGGGGAGAGAAAGAAAGACTTTTGCTGCTTTCCTTGCCTGCAGCCAAAAGCAGAAAAGAAAGAAGCAGCCTGGTGGCCAGGTGAAGCGCATGGGGCGAGTGGGGCAAGTCCCCCCACTCTACCCTTTCCCCCATCCCCTCACTACCTTGTGTTGTTTGCAATGCAAGCGACGCAAGCCTTGTGTTCCCAGGGGCCATGTGGGCGGCGCAGCCTCGTGTTCCCGCACAGCCTGGATTAATTGCTTTGGGGGTGACATTTCTCTGCGGACCACCAACATTTTCTTGCGGACCACCAGTGGTCCCCGGCCCATTGGTTGGCGACCACTGAACAAAAGGACTTCAGGAGTCTGTTTTGTACTTAGCTCAAATGAGAAATATACCCTTATAGATTTGGAATATTTTATATAAAAAAAATAAAAGACATGTTAACGGTAACACAACGACAAACACTTTTGGTTCACTTAAACAGGAGAGCCGAGTGGCTTAATTCTGTCTCTTTCGTCCCTCTCTTGTAAGAGTAGCTTAATTTTTTCTTTCAGCAGTTTGATTTCTTCTTCTTGCTCCAACACTTTCTGCTGAAGAACACAAATGACCTAAACAAAGCAGAGCAGACAATTATTGCCGCAGTCCCATATAGAGTAATGCCAGCACGGGAAGTGAACCGCCAGATAGGAAGGGATCACTTTTCTACATGGCTGGTCACTTCCTTTTTTTAAAATTAAGAATAGCCATCTTAATTTTATTTAAATTATATTCCTTTCTTTTTTTTTTCTTTATTGTGGTCGTTAACCAACACAGGAGAAATGATATTCAAAATTAGGGGCTATTTATCTAACTCACTGCCATAAATTATGACAATTATGGGCTCATTATCATAAATTATAATCATAAATTATAATTAGGGGCTAATTGGTCTTACAATCAAATTATGTTCAGGCTTTAACAGAATAGTAAGAGTTGGAAGGGACCTTGGAGGTCTTCTAGTCCAACCCCTTGGTGAGGCAGGAAACCCTAGACCATTTCAGAGAAATGGTTGTCCAATCTTTTCTTAAAAACCTCCAATTTTTATGATAAGTATGTGATAAGTATATGATAATTTGGATCATCAGGAGGACCGGATCTCGCCAAGGCTCACATTTGCTGAGTTATGGAAGAGTTCACTTTCCAGCAGCTGAAGGGCTGTCGGTCTCCGCGAGGATGCGTGGCTGGTCAGCAGCTTCACGTATCTGGCCTGTATCGGCCACTTCGCACAAAAAGTGAGCGGGAGGCTTCCCCGTCTTAAGCCCATCAGAACTTCCGTCCTCTCCATTTCTGTCCCAAACGGCTGGAAGAGTTCAAACAGGATGACGCCCAAACTGTACATATCCGACTAGAGAGAGAAGAAATATTCCGTGTCAGAACACACTTTTTTTTTTTCTCATATTTTAATACATCTTTTTGTTATTCCTGCCTATCAGAATTAATAAAGGGATGTGCATTGTACAGGAACAGCTATGGAGTGATTCTTGCAAGGGAGGAAAATTTTTCACCAAAGGCAGAAACTTTTCCAGGGTTGACATTCTGGGCCAGCCTGGCAATTTCAAGGCTGTGCGGTGTTGCTTTCTAGGTGTCAAGCCCAAATAACTGGGATCAGCCTTGTTCCCAGGGCTCCCTCTAAGCTTGCTTGGGTGTGTATTTATTTCTTCTGTATTTATTTCTTTCCACCAGACTTCTAAGGTGCTATAATATCATTGCTGTCATTTTGTAAGGCGCTGCAGAGAGCTCTTCGCTTTTTAAAGAGCGGTGGCGCTTGATATTTTCAAAGTTTATGGCTAAATGGTTTGGGAAGGAATAACGGTCGCTGCTTGCAATCATTCTGTTGTTTCTCACGGCTGCTTTGTTGGGAGCATCTGTAGTTCAATCATTTTTCACACTGAGGGTTTTATGCCCTTTTAATCAGTAGTTAGAATGCAGTATGGCAGGCTGACTGCCCACTGCCGGGAGTTCGATCCTGACTGTCTCACGGTTGACTCAGCCTTCCATCTTTCCGAGATTGGGTAAAATGAGGACCCAGATTGTTTTGAGTGCTGAAAAGCACTATGGAGCAGTTTATAAGCGTAACTGCTATTCTTAATATGTCTTTTGACATCTGAAAGATGGAATTTAACCGCCGAGGTCCTGTTTGTCTAAAAAAAAAAAAAAAGGGCCCAGTTAGATTGGAAGTTGGGGTGGCTGTACCTTGAAATCATAATGGGATCCTTGGAGTTGTTCAGGTGAAGCGTACAGACAAGTGCCCACTCCGGAGGTATGGATGAGCGCTAACCCAAAATAGAGGGAGAATGTTAGCATTTTTTAAAAAAAAAAAAATCAGGCATTGCAAATCAACAACCAAAGCACTATTAGAGTGGAATAATTACCATAATTATTCTCTGCGCTTAGCAGTTGGATTGTATCTTCCTCTATAATGTCTCTACAGGCTAACCCAAAGTCCCCTATTTTCACATGATGGTTAGGTCCTTGGAGAAAGATATTCCGGGGCTGTGAAAACAAAACCAGTGCACTGATGATGTTACCCAGCTGGGTAATGAAACGTCTGCAAGAAAGCAATGAAGCTCAGAAAGCACCAGAGACTCCTTGGGTTCTGTTCCTCCTCCTCCTCTCCTCCAACCCCTCCCCCCACTTTCCCTCCTAGCCCTGATGACATGACATGGTCAGGTAGTGAAACGTCTGCAAAAGCAAACAAGCTCAGAATGCACCAAGGACCCCTCCTTTCAACCCCAAGCTACAAACATCCTCCTTTATTGGTACAAAACAAATGCATTTGAGAAATTTCAAATTGCATTTCAATTAACACTCGGTGTGAAAAGATTTAAATCAACCGAAAGTGTCGAAATACAGCCGATGAGATTCTGGTGGTGAGCAGTGAATCGGCTTTGAGACGTCTTCTCTGGTGGCGACAGGTGCAAACACCCAGAGACCCATAGGGGTGAGGTTTCAGTCGACTACTTTATTGCTCTCTGCCTATTACACAGGACTCTCCCCAGTTTCACATGAGATAACTAACTAGATAAGGCTTTCAGGGAATTCGGACCTAGCTCTTGGGTGTTTACGTAGGGAATCCAGCCTAATTCCTCACTTGACCCCCCCCTGCTCCGAAGGTTGCTCTCCAACAAGGGGAGAGGTAAGCCTGCGCTGAACAGGACATCTTTTTAGAGACCGCGCATCTTCTCCGTTGGCCTGAAGCCTTTAGATCTGTGAGATCATCTAACCGGTTCCAGAACCAAGCGTCATCGTCACAAAGGAACAATGGCTCAAGTGTGAGGCTCCCAAATGCCTTTTCTCCATGCTCAAAACTACCCAATTTTTTTTCCTCCCTCCCCTCAACATGGGTAACTTGATAGGACGTCCCCACAGATGGGAAAACGAATCGACGGACAAAATATTAATTGACGCGATTATGACCAACGACACCTCCATGCTTCAAGATTTACTGCCCTCCCATTCAGTTTACCAAACGGTCATCTGCCAGGTAAACTATCTACCTTGCTCAATCTAAAAGACTTAACAAATAGAATTAAAAACATAATGCAGGTAGTCCTCGGTTTACGACGACAATGGAGCCCCAAATTCCTGTTGCTAAGCAAAACATGGGTTTAAGTGCGCTTTCTCCCATTTTTTTAACCTTTTTTTTAACCCGCCCCCCGAGAACACTGCAACCGTCATAAATAGGAGTCAGTTGCCAAGTGTCCGAATTTTGATCACGTGACCAGGGTGCAACCGTTGTAAAATGGTCCAATGAACCATTGTAAGTCAGGGACTACCTGTACGTAAAATTTTATATAGCATGTCCAAAGCCAGTACTTCTGAAAAGAGGTTTAATTCAGAATCACAGATTTCATTCCAAAGGGTCTTTAAATGTGACTTTTTTTTTTTTTTTGATCTAAACATTTTGACAAGCAGTAGAATGATTTGTACAATCTGATGCACATCTAATTAAAAGTAATTTCCACTGATCAACTCTTGGAAAGTTAAATGGGACTTAAATCTAATTCACAACGTTATGTGATAAGGCTGTTATCTTATACACTTGCCCAGAGTCACTGAGAGTGAGACGGTGAGACAGGCGGCTCTATAAATTTGACTATGGTGATAAAATAAAACCTTACAAATACATTTGGATTAAGCCCTCGCTGAAAAAGTGAAGTGTTCTTTGGTCAATCCTTCTGATAGTTATTATAATGTAGATTATAGAATATTTTAGCGGGCTTTCCATATTTTAAAAACTACCAGCAAAAGGTGTTACAATTGAAATTTTCTGCAATCACTTTCTGGACACCTGAAAAGTTAGCCAATGTTCAGATCAGATCAGATTCAAAGAATAAGCTACTTCTTTAAGACAGCAGAGCATGATGGCATAAATAGCCTTCAGATGGTCTTGATTAAACCACGTCAAATCTGATAGACTAGCTCGTTACCCGTGCTTCGCTACGAAACTGTGGTCAGACTTTGTTTTTGGAGAGGAAGTAAGGGGGAAAAAATTCTGCCTCTGCCTACCAGCATCCATTAGTATTCATCTGGCTAGCGTCCTGTCAGTGTGTGAGAGAGTTGAGGGCTGTTTGGAAACTGAAACAGTACTTACTGTATGAGTAAGCAGACAGCAAGGAGCCTGGGCGTGGCTTATCTCAACTGTTCTGTACTAAAGCTGCTTGGTGCTCTGAAACAAACTCCTCTGCTTGTGTTTTGCATTTGGAACAGATTTCTTTTCAGGTGGAGAGGGGGAAATAGAACTCCTTAGCATCAGAGCATGTTAATAATAATAATATAGGAAATACTAATGCTCTGATGGTCATTTCGAAAGATCCTTTCTTAGTGAGTACCTAGAAGCCAAGAGGAGCATAAAATTCAATTTTATCGGCTTTACAGTTCTGGAGATTTTGTGATGATGCGTGAGGGGTATTTCACCTATACACATAGATTGCTCTGCTAGCTTATATGTTGCCAATTACGACTTTTATATCTTTTTCTCCCCAACCGTCAAAGGAAAAAGGGAGGTTTGTGCAAGACAATACACAAAGTGGAGATCCTGAAAGGAGGTAATATTTTAACAAATATTATAATACGGGATTTGGGAAATGCTTAACAGCAAGAACTGTACGATGCAAAGAATTAGGACCACCCTTTAAATTCCAGCCAATCTGATTTATGGCTCATTGAGGCAGTCCTCCATTTAAACAACCACAATGGAGCCCAAAATTTCTGTCGCTAAGTGAAACGTGTATTAAGTCAAATTTGTCCCATTTTACGACCATCTTGCTGCAGTTGTGCAGTGAATCGCTGCAAGTGGTTAAGTTGGTCACACAGCTTCCTCACTAACTTTGCTTGCCAGAAGGTCGCAAAAGGGGACCCCCCCAGGACACTGCAACCGTCATAAATATGAATCAGTTGCCAAGCATTCCAATTCTGATCACGTGACCATGGGGATGCTGTAATGGTCGTATTTTTCAGCGTCGTCATTGTGAATGGTGATTTAATAGGCTGTTGTAAGTTGAGGACTACCTGCACACAAGAATCTAGTTGACTAACGGTCAGCACTAGGTTGGCGCTAGAAGAAGAGTCAATAGAATTCAAGAGGGATTGGGCTTAGACCGTTTGTGGGAATGTAATGATTCTAGGCTGGTTCCTCTCTTGATTCCTCCACCCCTGGACTCTCTACTTGTCCTTTTCCTGCAAATACCCATTAACACTGCCAAATCAAGCTGTTTAGCAGTGAAGGACCAAAGAATGAGGTTGTCAACTCATAAAATATTCCTGTGCCTGTTTTAAAAGTTGCCATAAAAAAAGGAGGGGGGGGGAGAGGAAGGATATCTGGAAGAGCAGTGCAGCAGTTTTAAATCAAAAGTATATTCCAACTCTTATCTTTAAAAGATTGTAAGTAAAATACCAGAGCTTTTGCCCGCAAATATATTTAATTGGAGAATGTGATTGATGACACCCAGCCCACAAATGTGCTCAGTTGGAGAATGTGATTTATGAGACACTCGGGGGAGGTGGGAAACAGGATCACGGGGGACTGTAAATGACGTATGCCAGAGTTGGCTTTGTACAGGGCGGGGCCAGTATGTTGCCTCAATTAAACCCTTTGAAGTTTTTTGAAGTTGGGCTCGAGAATCATGATTTAATTAGGGCGATTGCTGGAACCCTGACAGAAGTCATATTTGTTGGCTTGCCTGGAGTTGATGTCATCCTGGATATCTAGACAACATTGTGTAGTTTACTCCCGCTGTATTAGATATTCTATTAGAGAGGAAAAGAACTTGCAAATATTTATTTTTTATCTCTGCCTGTTTAGCCCCCCAAAAGCAGAATGTTCCACGGAGAACCGCCACAGAGCAGAAGAAAGGAATGATGGGAAACATCTCCCCATCAAATCCAAGAAGGGCGTCAAGGCCACGCATGCTGACGTGGTTGGCCACCACGATCACCACCCCCTCCATCTGGCAGTAGCCATTGGGTGTCACCACCTAATCCCCGACCTGCTGAAGCGGGGGGCCCGAATCGACGATAGGACGAAATCCGGACAAACAGCTCTTCACCTGGCCTCCAGAACCCTCAACCAAGCAGCCATTCAGACGTTGCTCCACTGTGGAGCCCAGGTGAACTCCACCACTCCAACAACCCAAGAGACCCCGCTCCATCTGGCTGTCCACACCTCATCCAGCAAGGCCGGCATTGTCCTAGGAGCCGACGGGACGTGCGTGGAGCTGCTGCTGCTGAATGGTGCCGACGTAGGCCTGAAAGACTGGAAAGGCCAGGCAGCGCTCCACCACGCTTGCCGAAACGGCCGGGAGGACCTCATTCACCTCCTTCTGAGTTATGGAGCAGATGCCAATGCCGTAACATCGCAAGCGGAGTCCTGCCTTTTCCTCTTCCTGGAAAAAGCAAGCAACCTCAAGAAGGCCAACATTCTCTGGAAGCTGCTGAGCCTATCCTACCCAGTGAAGCTCACTAACGCTGAGGGCCGCCTACCCCAACTGTTGGATGACCCCCACTGGGAGCCACTGAAGGACATACTCCTCCAGGTGTCTTCCCAAGTGTGGTCCTTACAGGACATCTGCAAATTCAACATCCGGAAGGTCTACGGGGGAGACTCGAGGTACTGGCTCAAGGAGGCGATGCCCGTCGAGCTATGGGACTCGATCTACACGAGCCAACCGTTCTCGTACGCCTCGAACGTCGTCGAAAGGATTTTTGATGCCGGACGCCGCCAACCCGAAGTAAGCGAAAGGCCCTCGGATGCCAGTCCCCTCCTCCTTTTTCTCCTTAGCATGATCCCTGCGCTGTGGCAGGACCCACTTTTCCTGGGATGCTGAGCTGTGGTGTGTGTGTGTGTGAAAAATCAAATAAAACCAAAAGTGTTTTCAAAACTTTGTGTTCTGAGTCAATCCTCGCAGACATTGCTTTCAGTGGGGCGCACTCCGTCCGTTGGAATATTTAGAGAAGAAAAACAGAGAGGGATTTCTGCCTTGGAGAGGTGCAACAGACGACTGGAAGGTTGACTCAACCTTCCGTCCTTCCGAGGTGGGTAAAATGAGGACCAAGATTGTTGAGGGCCATAGGCTGACTCTGTAAACTGCTTAGAGAGGGCTGGAAAG